AGGAGGGGGACTGGGGGGGTTGCCCGCCTGCCGGGAGTGGGGGGAGGCGGAATGGAGGCCTCGGGGTCGCGCCTCTGTGACCGTGATTCTGCCACGAGGAGTGCTGCCGAAGAGCGGGGTCCTGCTAGTTAAGGGAAAACTTATTTTCTTTGGAAAGAAAAATAATAATAATAATACAGACACGATATTGTTACTGCCGTCTCCTGCAATGCAGGGGTGTACTTGAGTGTCACTGTCGTGTTACTCCACGCTTTGAATGCGGGGAACGGCTGGGCTACCCGATCCTAACCCGGGGGATGCGATGGCTTCCAAAGGGGCCTGAAGGCTTCAGCAGTCAATTCTTTCGAATGAGTGTGCTGAAAAAATAGAGGGGACTGCTGCATGGATTTCTGATCTTTAGGCGTGCTCTGGTTTAAACCAAGATGCTGTTTGCTTTATTTTCTTTCTGCTGAATCTGGTGCTCCTAACTGGAGGCAACTCGTGCCCTTTATGAATCCACTGTCGTAGCTGAAGCACTCCTGTTGGGATGGAAGGGCTCAAGTTTCCATGAAATGAGTTACCCTTACCTGACCTAAAGCTTACCTTTACTTGAGCAAACATGGGGTTTTTTGTGTTACTAGAGAGAAACTTCTTGTAAAATGATCTACTTCAGTGGCCATTTAGGTGATGTTTGTCATGTAAACACATTGCATAGGGCAGTTAAAAAGAGTGCTCGATAAAATCCTAAAATTCCATAGGCTGCTGTTCCCACTGTTTTGTTTCAGTGTGATATGCATCCTTGACTCTTCACCTACCTGGAATATACACTGTGAAAATGGACTTTAGTTTTCAGTCAGTTGCTCCATCCATGTAATGGCCCTCTTTTGAAAGCTGTTGCTTTAAAGAAATCACAGTTAAAGAGTGAAAACTGCCGTTATCAAAATGTCTGATTTGTACTGAATTCACTAGACCAATATATATATTTAACATGAATGTAACTTTTATTTATAAAGAGTCAATATGCCCAGCACTTCCATTGTAAAGGTGCCAAGCCTTTGAGTGCTGCATTCATCCTGTATGAAATGTGGCAGGTTGCAGTTGCTTTTATTGAATACAAGGCATGGCGAGCAATGGGAACATCTATGTTTGTTCTTTATCATAACTGTCATACTAATTGAAAAAGGCTTTGGAAGTTCTCTTGCAGTGCTTTTCACTTCATGGAACTGCCTGTGGGCCACTTCTGTTCACCATCGTAATGTTGACAGTAATTAAAAAAAAAAATCCAGTTTTTAGGGACTCTGTGTATGTATGTGTATATACATATATATCTGCCATAATCCATACTGATGACATAAGTGAGAAAAGACACAGAGCAAGCAGGTATCGAAACCGAGCTTCTGCCACTTCTGTTTCTGCCTTGAATGTCTTGAAGGTGGGTCTCTGAGAAAGTTATGCAATAGATGTCACAAAACAAGTTGGTTAATAATGAAAGGTTCACATATTCTCTGGTGATATCTAAGTTTCTAGTCTAATTTATGAATATAAGTGTCATTATCATGAAATTATCAATCACTTGTAAGAAATGAAGAACAATGCTTACTTCGTTTCTGGCACAAAGCAAGCTTCCCGTAAAATAATTGATGCCTGATCTGAAAAGCTGTTTCTTTGGCTGGCATTGCGTAGAGCAAGGCTGCTGAAGGACAACAAAGAGCCTGGGGCACAGCACACCAACTCCCCTGGCTGCCACAGAGCAAGGAACTTGGCTCTTGGCAGCCCCGGGCAAGCATGGGCTGAGCTTATACTCCCTCTCCTTTGGCCTCTTTGGTTCACTTTGCCTGATCAAACTAAACTCTCCAGGACAAAGATTTGTTACATTTAATAGAAGTCATAAATTCTATGAACTGGTCACACACGTGATATCCCAATTAGCCTCTGGTATGTCCCTGCTCTGATGTGCTGCTGTCAAATTTATCCTTGAAAAATTCTGCGTCGGGATCTGCGAAGAGCTTGCCCTGGCTGGGTGCTTACTGGTGTGCCTCCAGGAGAGGTGTTCCGCTTACGGCGTTTGACGTGTTCCCTTTTAACAAGCTTGGCTGGATACCTTACTTGTCTTCAATTGTTTCTTACTTTTGTAGTCAGCAGTTTTAAATTACCAAGTTATCTATTATTAATAAAAATCAATGTCAGTCTTCTTGAAAACTTTACTAGTTGTTTCGGGAATGTCAATTTAATAATTTATACTTACACCACACTCTCCAGTACCCCAAATCTGTATTTGTTCTTTGGAAGAAAATAGATGATAGTAATTAAAGCTACTTCTGTGGGGACTCTGTAAGACTGATTTATAAACAGCTATATTTGAAGCCTGAAACTGATATACTAAGTAGCTGCCCAAGAGAACAGGAACTGAACTTTACATCTTTAAAGGATGAATATTGAGCTGTGTTTATTCAACAATATTAGACAGTTTTAGTGGCTGCACAACCCCATGCATCCCTAAAAAAGTTAAATCCCGTGTAGGTAGAAATGTTCAGTTATCCAAGTGAAAAGTAATGTGCTTGTAGTTATTAACTGCAGTTTGAAACTTGATCACTCTCACAAGTGGTGTGGGTCTAAGAGAGCTTTATGCAAAGCTGCCAAGCCAGTTTTTGTTGCATTCTGTGCTGCAGTTGCCCTGCCCTTTTACAGAGCTTAATTGGCTTTAAGGTGATGGAGCAACTGATATTTGTTAACCAGTAGTCTTATCCCCCAAATTATGAGTTGCTTCCCAGGTGCTTGCTGTAGAAACCTGATGTTTAATTTTTCCCAAGTCAGAGTTTCAAACCTGAGGGTGCTTAAAACAGGGAGTATAAATAGTTACTTCAAGGCCTTTTTAAGGCTGAATTGTTAGTGAAAAATTAGCTCGCATGAACACTAGAACTTTGATTGCTTCCTTTTTATCATTTATATTTAAAAACTTTACTCATAATATGTAACATATTACAGTGAAAACTTGGCTTCATCTTGCATGTTATCAGAATGCTGAGCAGTGGCCTAGTGAGACCTGAAACTTACTGTGTTTTGATGAAACTGGAACCAGTGTCCTGACTGTCTCCCGGTGTGATGGGTTGATACTTTGGATTGTGGTCTCTCTTTTAAGACTTCAAGCAGTAGTCCTAGATTAATGATTTCTGGCATGGTTGGCAGTCTGCACGTTGTTGGCGTGGCATTACAGTACTTTGCTTTAACCAACCAGTTGTCATTTTAGTACTGCTGTAAGGTATGTGTATTTGTAAGAGAGATGTTTTCCCCCTCAGATCCCATTCCATTGACTTTTCTCCCTTCCTTCTGTAGATTTGCACCTCTTCCCCATAACTCTCCTTTGCCTGTTGGTAAATTACTGAGGTGTGGGGTTGATTGGGTGGGAAGCATTGTTTCTGCTAGAAAAAAATGGTTATTCAGAGGTGCGGATTAAAGGTGAATGAGGACACTTTCCTTGTGACAGTTACTGCTACTTATGTTCACGATTTCTACTCTGACTTTAACCATGTAATGCTGCCATGCAGCATGTCTTCTGTGGCATCAAAAGATGGGCTGTGATTTGGGAAGGGAAGGAACGACTGACTTTTAACAGTACTGGTAATAAAATATTTTGAGGTTTTAGTGTATAAGATTCAGTACACAAAGATTTAACATACTAATTCTGTTAGCACAGCTGTAGAGTAGCTTTTAATCATTATATAAAAAATGTCTTCACTATTCCTAGGCCTTATCCTAGCTCTTTTCATTATAAATGCATTTTTGCCTGCAGTAGTGTCCTTGGTTGCTTAAAAATGGAAATACAAAATCGTACTCATCTCTTGCAGAAATGGGTGGCCTGATTACACCACTGACGGTTGATGCACTGAGTTGATGAACTAAGAGGATTAGGTGATAGAGCTTAGCTTGAACAGTGGTAGAAATTGTGCTAATATACACAATTTATTATTTAAAAAGATAAAACAAACTCAAAACTTAATGTGGGTATTAAAACAGCCACATCTCACTGAATAATTTTTCTTTTCTTTTTTCTGCCCTTCTTCCTCAGGTCCCAAAACAGTGTTTTTCTGGGCACCTATTATGAAATGGGTAAGTATAAATATGCCAGCCGGTGTCTGGATGTCAGTCAGAGGGCAATCTGCAGCAACCCATTGAGCAAGCAGTCATTTCCCAGCAGATACCTGAGCCTACAGAAGATTTAACACCAAGGCTCTAATTTTTAACATACAGAGAGGAACAAAATTAGTCTTAATAACAGATAGCACAACATGCAGGGGAGGATACAGCAGGGGAAAAATACTTTGTGGAAAAATTGTACTTTTCACTGGAAGTTCCACAAAAGCTTTCTCTTGTGAAATACTAACTATTGCTCAAGGTAGGCATGAGCTAGCGTATGATTCAAACTCTTAAAGCAGGTATTTCTCCTGAGACTGAGGAATTTGAAGACTATCTTAAGGAAGCCAATTCCTAAGCCCTACAGTTTGAAGGCAGGTTAAAGCGTGTCAGAGTGCAAGGTAATCTTGAGAAAACACGAGCAGCCACTGCCTAAAAAAGAAAACCAGCATCTGCCATTTTGGCTATTAGTAGCTCTCTGCTTCCTGTGCAGCTCTACTTCTCACTTGGTTACACCTCTTGGCTATGTACGTGCACAGGTGAAGTATATGCCTCCTCCTAATTCACTGTACTCCTCCTAGTTGTTGTATTGGTACAGATAAAATAAACGAGCTCTAAAATCATAAAGCTGTTTGATCTCCTTGTTTGAAAACAACAAGGATATAACCTGCTCTTCTTATTGCCAGCTGGTTTGTAAGTTTGCCATCGTGAATGCCAACTTTTTATAGGCCACAAGCAACGCATTGTGCTCTAAGCTGTAGCTTGGTTTCCTTGTTAATCTAAAGTGGAGCTGCAGTAACCGTGGTTGACCTTCCCCTTTCTCAGAGGCTCTCCCAGGCAACATGCTTTTGAGCCTGAGCATACGGGCAACTCTTCTGAGCAGGCTGCTGTCGACTGCTGCTGTAACAAAAGAGCTTATACACAGATGGTTTTTCTTTTGTGAACATGCAGGAAGACCTCTCAAAGCTCACAGTGAACTTCTTCACTGAGGAGTTAAAATGACTTCCCCCCCTACATTGCAAAGGCGCGTTTACTACAGTTACCCAAGTGTGCTGAAAGTCTGTACCTTTGTGGCACCACTACAGCAACATCAATCCCGTAAGTGAGGCAGCACACGAAGTCTCTACCCTTGAAAAATGGTTTCTCAATTGGAGCCAAAGGAGTCCTTAGTGGCAGTCAGTGAATTAAAAGCATCAGGACTCTTTGATTTGTGGGATTTTGGTTTTTTTGGTGAGAATTTTTTGTGAACTCCTAAAACATGAAATTTTATTTCCAGTAGAGGGCAATAACACAACAAAACAACTCAAGCAGTGTGTTTGCTAGTAATGTTGTCAAGTAGATCAGCCAAGCTGTTCCTCACTTCACCTGGAATTTTTCTACTTTTACTGAAATTATATTAAAAAAAAAATCCCTTTTACATCCTCAGATGAAGCTGAGTGAAGACTATTTGGTGTCACACCTGCATCTTTACTGGCAATATCTTAATCCAAGCTTTAGGAAGAAGGGCCTTCTTTAGATAAGCTTCTACTTGTTGCATGAAAAACAATTTGTTTTCCAGCTGTTTTCTTAAACAGCTGTGCTTAAATTAACCTTGTTCTTAAACTAATACAAAATTGTCACTGCCTGGGATTTTATTGCAAGCCAGTTGCACCCCCCCCAAACTGTGTTCTTATTCCTACCACAAGTGACTAAAAGTGGATGATGTCTCCAAGAGTCTAATTACTCTGCTCATATAATGCATCCCATCTCCTGCATAATGCATGTAGACTAAGCACTGAGCTGTGAAGCAACTTGCCCTTGTAAAGCATTTGATCTGTTACAGGAGGTTCTGGTACTGGACTGGTGCTCACTGAATTTCTCATTACAGGGTTTGGTATGTGCTGGAATGGCGGACATGACCAGACCAGCAGAAAAGCTCAGCACAGCGCAGTCTGCAGTACTAATGGCCACAGGTAAAGCCAAAGTTACTCCATGCTTTTACACAGCACCCTCTCTAAAACTGTATCAACATCTTTCCAAATTCTCCATCGGTATTAATCCACTTCTATAGAAAAGGCTTAACTGTAATGTGTTAGCTCTCGCTATTGCTGTCACACAATAATTCTAGGACAGACCTATTCTCGTTATTAAGTCTGTAAGAGTTCTGTGATTATATAACAGTTTTCTATACGTGTCTTAATTTGGAATTGTCCGGAACAAGTTGTTATGAGTTAGGATATGAGTTTCATCTCTTAAGTTACAATGATACCACTCATTCTACCCAGTGACCTCTTTTGCTTCAGGTCAAGCAATTTTGAAATCAGTCCAGGATATAGTGACTTTTTTAGAACAGACTTTAAGGGATTAAACAATGCTAGGGTAGTTAAAGTAACATAACTGGAAAGAATTTCCACATGTTAAAAGAACTTGGAAGCAATGGTAAACACACTGCTGCACTGCTGTCTGCCATGAATTTTCACACTGGCAGAAACAATATTCCATACTCAAGGTTTTCTACCAGATCTTGTCAGGGGTGGGACTTGTGGCAGCTAAAGCTGAAAATCAAAATTACAGCTGCCAGTTTCTCCCTTCTTCAGACTTGATTTTGATACCTGACACAGTGCTGTGCATTTTGCATTATATGTAAACCGTTCTTGACTGGTGGATTCTGTAATCTGTAAACTGGTGCAGCAAGCAGGATATAGCAAAATGCCACTACCCCGCAACTGTGCTGGAGAATTAAGGTTTAGACTGCTGTAGAGTACAGAGAATCTTTGATTTTGATATTAAGACGATGATTGACCTTCTTGGCTAGTTATTTTGGAAAAATGCAATGCATACCCATAGCTGTCCCACTGGCACTGACACGCTTCTGAGAAATGGTGAGTTATAAGAAAAGCAGTTGTCTAATGTGAAGCTGTAAAACTTGTTTACTTAAACTGGCCCATGATTCTGTCTCCAAACTTAGGGGAACGTCTGAATATTTCACTTTAAAGACTTACCATCTTTAACCTTTCCCTTTCGTTCAACAGGCCTTATTTGGTCAAGGTACTCTCTAGTTATTATTCCTAAAAACTGGAGTCTGTTTGCTGTGAACTTCTTTGTTGGCTGTGCTGGTGGCTCTCAACTCTTCCGAATATGGAGGTATGTATTAAGAAGGGCTACTCTATGTACTATAAGCATTCACACCACCTAATCTTAATCAGAAACTTAGAAATTCTGACAGCCTCAATGTCAGTGCAACAGGCAAGAGGAACTGAACAATTAATTAAACATTGCAGAACTTGCTACATTGTTGAGTGGGACTGAAGCTTTAAATATTTTCAGTATAGCTGTGGCGTTTTTTAAGGAATGCTCTATGTAAGCTGTAGTTCCTGGGTCTACGACACTCTTTTAAAGTTGTAGGTCTGACTGACAAACAGCCTAGACTTTCTTCCCGTAAGCTTTGCATTTCTGTCAGCTTTCAGTGTTGAATCATGTCAGCTCCAGCTGGATCAAAGGGCTCTTGAGCAGAGCAGCATTTTATTTATTTTTTTAAATTATTTCTGGTGGGAAAATTTGCAGTTCTTTGGCTTCAGTACTGGGAAGGAATAAGGCAAACTTAGCAACTAATTTGGAACTTCTTACATGAACTAAACTATCCTATACTGACTTTCCACCCTCAAGTCCATTGTCATTTTAAACCTCCTCTGCTAAACAGATTGTTAGGCAGACACTCTTATTGTAACTGGTGTTCTATTCTTAGTCTGTGCTTTTTTTTTTTTCCCCTGTAGGTATAATCAGGAGCTAAAAGCAAAACAACAAGAGCAGCTGCAGCAGAGAGATGCTTAACTCGATAGGTCAAATCCAACAACGCACAATCCCTTCCCCATGGGACCTAGCTTCACTAATTTTAATCTTTTTTTTTTCCCTCTGAGAAAATGAAAGAGGAAATTTAGAGAGCAGGTGTTTTCTAAGTGCAAATAACAAAGTATCTCCACACATTTAAATAAAATGCAACATTTTAAATTGAAGTAAAATTGTGTGTCTTATATTGTGTCTTTAAAAGAAAGCGATTGTGGATTGTGCCTTGAATGAGTTGCTGGGCCCCACCTTCTCTAACTCTGCTGAACTGTGCTGGGGGCGTCATGGTACTGGTGACAGTCAGCCAGAGCCTCAGGCTGAAGTAATCTTCTTCCATGTCATGGTCAGACCTGTGTGGGGTTTTACCATACTTTTAGTAATCAACAACAGTAGTATTTGCATTTTGCTTTTCCCTGGTAGTGTCAGGATATTCTTTTCAGCTTCAGCTATGCATATCTTCATTTGTTTCCCAGCCACCACTGTCTTTAACAAGAGGAGGACAAACTAGGATGTGCCACCAGTGCTTTAGCTTCTGTCATCCTTTACAATTAGAAGCAGAAGGTGGGTGGTTCTTGGGAGTGTGGAAAAATAAACAGCCAAAACTTCTATTACTCGCTTTCCACCTCCTCCTTAAGTACATACAGATTTCCTGTGAAGGTGTGCACTCAGGAAACATGTACATGTCAGTTCTCCACAGCTTTGGAGGCAGTGGTCTGCTCCCATCAGTGGCATGTTTGTGAATAAATACTGAAGCCTTCCATGAAAGTCAACATCTCTCCCTACTCACTCTCCTCTGAAGAGGAAAAATGTGCCACTCTGAAATAAGTTCTGAGCAAAGGCTTTACATTACACTGCAAATGCTCATCTATTACTGAAAGGTACAAGGCAATTGTGTTCAGAGCATGCGACAATGAGCTTCCCTGGTAGGTTCTCAGAGACCGCTTCCACCAAAGCTAGGAGTCTGTACTGGAGGTCAGGAATTTATATCCAGGAGAAAAAGATAACTGTGAGAAACAGTATCTTCTTCAGGACTCAGCTTTCAGGAAAATGAAGGCCTTAAAATATGGGAGTTTTGCAAAGTCCTTTTATGAAGTCTCTCTCCACCCCTACATGTCCGGAATCCCATTTGAGTTAATGCTCCAGCATGGCCAGAGGAAAGGAAACTGTTCCATAGTTACAAAAGCTACAGCACCTTGTTGTGGCACTAACGTCCTCTCTCATCCTATGTACAATGTTATATTATCCAGTGCAGAGTATTTGTGCAGCACAGTTTAAAGAAAACATTTTCCATTCTTGTATGACGTGCACCCCATAGTCTGTCAGCTCCCCTTTCTCAGAGGCTGTCCTGCCACGAAGCTATTTCTGTCCTACGTGAATTCTGGTACAGTTTCACTTGCATTTCTTAGTGGTAGTACAGGGTAACAATTCAGATGGTGAACTCTCCAGCTGTGTTGTTCGCTGGGCAGACAAAGGCTGCAGTGACTGAAGAATACTGCCAGGAAGAGGGGTGGTGTATTCCAGTCCCCCTCCCTTCCCAGTCCCTAACCAGATAAGACTCGTCCAGCAAACCAGTAATGGGAAAACAAAAAGTGTATTAAAATATTCACAAGATTACAATAGAAAACATGAAAGTCCATTCAAGAAAAAAAATATCCAAGATAACTGTTTCCAGATGAGTCTGTAAAAGCAAAGCACTAACAGTTGGTACACTGGCTCTTCATGTAATCAGGCCATGCAATGCGTATCTAGCTCCCTCACACAGATTATACACCTGTCTTACAGGTGTTTGTTCTCTGGTATACCTCCAAGACAGAGGTTTACAAAAGGAAAGTACCCAGTCTGTGTTTCCAACTACATTTACCACATAAAACCAGCTGGCACTGCAAGGAGACAGAAAAGATTGCACAGCACACTGATCTCCAAAGGCATTGAACTTACGTTTTAGAGTGCAAAAATACCTTCAAATGAAAGGGTTTATTAGCTTTAGGGCAGTGAAGAGAAGGAAAAGAGAAGCCTCAAGAAGAGTATAATTGCTGAGCATAGTTAATATGATTTTGTAGTCTCCCATATAAAAATGTTACCTAAATACTAGCACCGTGGGGATGTGGCCACAGCCCAGAAGTCTTATCCACCTTCTCAGCTTTGATGGTTTTAAAGAGAAAATATTTCCATCACTTATTAAACAATAAGAACATGTTGTATTTGAGGTCCTAGGTAGATACATTAATAATGTAAAATTCCAAGACAAGATTTCAATACCCACTGAAGGTGTCTTGTTCATAAACCAAAGAGCCCACACCTGACCTCAATGAATCCACTCTACAGCAATGCAGCTTCTAAGTTGCATACACACATTTACTGCAGTTACAAGACAGATGGTTACCTAAACAGTTGTCACAGGTTTAGAAAAGTTAAAAACCTAATTCCAGCTCTTCTAGTCACAAACTGAAATATCACCAAAGCTTTGAGAGAAAACAAAACCCTATGGGTTTCCGGTTATAAATGACACGTCATTCAATTAGTTACAGGGACATATTTGCCACCCTGTAGTGGCTCTTAATGCCATTTTGTGAACACGCCAACCATCTCCCTCACAGAACAATTGCTGAAGTCAAAAGGGGCAATGGACATTTGATGTACTGAGTACACCTACCAATTTACTTAGATTGATACTTTATAATTATTTGTAATCCTCAAATTTCTGGTAATCAAAAATAAGGAAGAATATAGCCACTGTTAGTAAGCAGCCAAAACTTTTCTGCTTGGCAGTTCTGTTAAAAACAGGGAAGACAAACGACGCCATGCATATCCCTGGCTCTAGGGGGTGCCAGCTGGCTTAGCTGCCAGAGCCCAGGCTGGAGATCCAAAACTGCACTCCTGCAAAGGGCTGAAGGTCACTTTTACCCATAAAAGAACTTTTGGGTTTTTTTTTCCCCCTCAGCTGAGAAATGGATTTCAGATTGGCCCCAGTTTTGTTTGCAAGGTGAATAAAAGAGAATTCATTGCAAGTCTTTTACATCACACGGACCTTCCCCAGCTCCACCATCCAAGAGCCATGACCCACGTAGCAGTTTTAGTCTTTTGCCTCAAGAGAGGCTGCTTACCCCTCAGCTGTGCCGCAGCAAGCCTGCCTGCCACGCAGCGCTTCTTTTTAAAATAGATGGTCGTAGAAGAGCTAGCAGCAGGACAAGGACAACACACTTAGTGTTCCTCAAAGTCCAAGCTGTTCCTTTCTACCTGCAAAGCACAGCATCAGAGAATTAAGAGACTAGCAGTAGAGCAAACAGAGTTAAACTTCTGGTCACCGTAACATCAGGATATGATGACCTTGTCTGACTTTAATCTCTGCTTGCTACCCATCAAGGAAGTAGAAGTCCTCTGTCTCCTGAGACTTTACTAAGTAAACCAACTTAGCATCAGTCCCTTTCATCAGCACAGGTTATCGGACGATTAAACAAGCCAATATAACCTGAGGGACAGAGAGCTTACAAGTGTTGTCTCACGTTGCCTCAAGTTCTTTTGACTTCAGCCTGAATAAGTTATTTAATAGCTACTTAGTTCATTTTTCCATGACCAAAAGCAAAAAAAAATAAATAATGAAACAGCCTTCGCACTGGAGAGGGATTCAGACTGATTTCTGCTATTCCTAGGGGAAGGAACTTTTGTTTCTTTCTAAAAAGATGTTCAGCATTTTTAAAAAATGCTTCCAAGTTCATTCTACCTTCATAAAGAGGATGCAAGCAGCCTTGCAATGAGCCTCCTCAGCAGTATAGGCAATATAAACATACCCGTAGTTAAACAAAGGCAATGGAAGGAGATGTTTCCTAAAGTTAGTTAGCAACAACCACATTAGTGTGTTTCCTAACGTTAGCACCAGCCAGATCAGCATGGCTCCTAAAGTTAGCACCAGATCAGCCTGTTTCCTAAAGTCAGCACCAACCAGATCAGTGTGTTTCTTAAAGTTAGCACCAGATCAGCATGTTTCCTAAAGTCAGCACCAACCAGATCAGTGTGTTTCTTAAAGTTAGCACCAGATCAGCATGTTTCCTAAAGTCAGCACCAGGTCAGGATTGTGCTCAGATTCTCCAGTATATTCCAGCAGGAAAAGAAACAAACATTAGCAGACTTCACAGGCAAGGACAGCCCTATCTTCTCATAGCAGCAAGTTTTTGACCGCTACATTCATCACACTTTGCTCTCTTACTCTAAAATGTCTGGGGAGAAAGATGGTGATGCTCAGGGATGAACACAGGCAGATCAAAATCAAGTTTCTCCATCAACCATGTCAAAAGCAGTTGTTTCTTACTAAGTGTGAAAAAAACGTTAACAGCCTGGTAGATAAGGAAAGCAGCAGCAGGATTTATCCTGATCTTAATGAAGCTTCTAACAAAGGCAACTGTTGTCAGGAAACCAGTGAAGTTTGATCCTGATGAAAGAATATAGTATCGGCATAACCAACTTTCTTGGGGAAAAAAAACCCACAGAAAATTGTTACTTAAGTTGCACTGTCATAATTAAAGGATTATCTAATGTGGTTCTGAAAGGGTCTGCCATGGGCCAAAAACTATTTTTTATTTACTTGATATTACAGTGGAATGTAGGCTTAAGTTTGCAAATATCAAGCTAAGAGTGTTGCAAACTCACTGGAGGACAGGATGAGAATTCAAACCAAGTTTTCAACTGACAAATTGAAGATGAGGTCTGAAAAACCCGTAACATAATTTCAGTAGAGACAAATTTGCAGACAATACAACTCCAGGAGGAGTTGCTGGCACACCAGATGGTCCTGCTGCCATTCAGAGGGACCTGGACAGGCTGGAGAATTGGGCTAAGAGGAATTTCATGAAGTTCAGGAAGAAGTGCGAAGTCCTACACCTAGGGAGGAACAACCCCACGCACCAGCACATGCTGGGGGTGGCTTAGCTGGAAAGCAGTTTTGCAGAAAAGGCCCTGGGAGGGTCCTGGTGGATACCAGGTTGAACATGAGCGAGCAGCGTGCCCCGGCAGCAAAGAAGGTAAATGATATCCTGGGCTGTATTAGCCAAAGTATTGCCAGCAGGTCAATTGAGGTGATCCTTCCCCTTTATCCAGCATTGGTGAGGCCACACCTGGAGTACTGTGTCCAGTTCTGGGCTCTCCAGTACACGAGAGATACAGACTTACTGGACTAAGTCCAGTGCAGGGCCACAAAGATGATAAAGGAACTGGGGCATCTTTCAAATGAGGAAAAGCTGAGAGAGCTGGAACTGTTAAGCCTGGAGAAGAGAAGGCTTGGGGGAGGATCTCATCAATGTATATAAATACTTGATGGGAGGGAATGAAGAGCACTACTCTTCTCAGCAGTGCTCACTGGCAGACACAGTGGACAGAAATTTAAGAAAAGGTAATTCCTCCTGAACACAAGGCAGCACTTTTTTTGTGCAGAGATGTTGTAGAATTTCCATCCATGGAGATACTCAAAACCCAACTGGGTGCAGTGCTCGGCAACCTGCTCCAGCTGACCCTGCTTGAAGAGGGAGGGTTTGGACTAGGTGATCTCCAGAGGTCTCTTCCAACCTCAACCATTCTGTGATTGATTCTGTGAAATCTCCTTCTCTGGAGATATTCAAAACCTGCCTGGTTGCGTTCCTGTCCGATCTGCTGTAGGTGAACCTGCTTTGGCAGGGGCGTTGGACTAGATGATCTCTGAAGGTCCCTTTCAACCCCTACTATTCGGTGATTCTGTGAAATAGACTGAACCCTTAGGAAATGGGCAAGAATCAGAGAGAAGGGGTTATGGCAGACCAGACTGAAAATTTTTTGCTGCTACAAAAAAGCCAACACCACATTAGGATGTACAAAACAGAAATCCTGCTACTTTGAGAAGACCTCAGCTGGAGTGCCACTTCTAGTTCTGAGCAGCAGATTTCAGGATACAAACGGGTCAGCTAAAGAGAGAGACTCTTCAGCAGAGAGTGATCAGAGATCCTTAACAATCTATGAGGAATTTAATCTAGAAACAAGAAGCTGGGAAATCATATTCAAGTAGCAGACTTGCAGAGGAAGGAAATAAACTGCTCTCCACATCCTCTGTGCAAACATAGGTTATACAAAAAAACACACATCAAAAAAAACCAGAGTGAAGTCCTAGATTTCCTCCAGAGGTCATTCAGCCTCCATTACAGGCTTTTAAGAGAGATAAAGCATCTCTAAGGAAGCAACAGTGGTATAACAGAGCCATGAGAGAGAGGTGAGGGAGTACTACAGCTTCCATATCCCTCTGAGCCCTTTTTCATGCTTGTGTGAAATGACAGAGCTTTGAGGAAGAAACATTTCATTGAAAGGTTCAACAGCATCTGAAGCAACCACCTACAGCTATAGCTTCCTATCCCTTTAACTCACTAGCTCTTAAGTTTTCACAGGTAAACCACCATTTCACAAAATTCATTAGATCAACACTATCCCTGTACCTTAAAGGACTAAGTTTGAATAGATGGGCTCAATACAGAAGTAAACAGCTCTGTGACCTGTGTTACAGGTCAGGTAGGCCTAAGCATTTCCTTCACTTACACTGCTAAGACATACACTTCTGATAACTAAGAGTCACAATTTGGCTTACAAGACCAAGTGAGAGTGTCTAGTTTATATAAGAAGGCAGCTTGTACTGAGGATCTGACCGAGGAAAGATGGATACCCTGTATACATAAAGAACACTGTGAATATAAAGAAAATATCTTCTTTATATTCACCTCAACAAAAGAAATTAGGCCCTATAAGCAAAAAAAAAAAAAAAAAGAAAGAATCTCCAGGTCAATCTAGAATCTTCAGGCATCTTCCAGTTTCTCCAATAATAATCGAGATAAAAATATTTTAAAAATGTGATGCGAGTTTTCACTTTCTCTCTCGTCACACAAGGTACAAAAAAGAATATTGGCAATTTATAAGCAAAATTCTTACCGCATTTCAACATGCAACATTGGTCTCACTTCTGTACGATTAAATAGACTATTTACACACAATACATATATATCTTTCCCTCTGTATGCACATGCATTGGTCCTAGCCTAGGCATCAAAGGCCACATGTGAGTTCTCTGGGTCAAATCTTGTTCAAGCAATTCCAGTCTGAATGTGTGTTTTCCTTTGGATAGCTTAGGATCTCATCTCAGTTCTTCCGAATATCAGCATAGACCACAGACTCTGACTTGTTAATCTTGTCGCTGTGCTGTCCTCCGGAGTGATCTAACTGCGCATAAATGACTGGGCCCTGGGAACAGAATAAAAAAAGCACAATCAGTATTTTTCAGAATAGGTCATATTGCCCCTCACTTCCGCAGGGGCTGCAGCAAGACCACAGCCAAAGCAAGACCACAGAGCTTTTATGACCGCTAACAGCACTTTGAAGCAGGTGGAATGAACCCTCACCTACAAATGAGCTCTAGTCTGCCACCTTTCTCCTGTCAGGAGCATGCCAAACAGCACCATTGCCTCCCTTTAAAACAGGTACGGCTGCTTGCTTCTCACAAAAAGCAAAATCCAGAATCCTTTGTTCTGAAAAGCAGCAATTCTTACATGCTATGGAGCGAAGACACATGGCTTACCGAGATGCATGCCAGATTTAATATTTTTCAAGAGGAACTGTACTACAGATTTGCCAGTAGACAGCAGAGTATACCTCCCATACTGCCACTCAAGTCCTGTAAATCCCAGCACAGCTGTACCACTAGGACAACCAGGGAGAGAACAAACCTGCAGCCACCTTATGACGCCAGTCATTGCCCAAGCAAATGATGGGATCAAGACCTGCAGAGCAGTGAGCCAGAAAATACGGAAATGGTGCAGTAATGCAGAATTCTTACCTGACTGTTAAGTCAACCCAGGCAGTGAGCACCTCCACAGCCACCCTGGGCAGGCACGGCCACACACACACCTTCCTTATATTTGCTGGGGGGCAGTGGAGGACTTTCCAGCACCATCTTTCAGCAGAGCAGGCAAACACGCCAGCAAACACCACATCCTCTCCAAAACACAGCCCACAGGAAAGCAAACTGCAGCTATTGGACGTGGGCTGAGGACAGGACGACAGCCTATAAAGAGCAGGCACCCAACAAGACAGGTGGGACCTTTATGGAAAGGTCTGACCTGCAGCCCCCACTCTGCTCACCCTGATTGACCCGAGCCCAGAGCAGAAGGCTGCAACCACCTCCCAGGTGACTTCAGCGGAGAGCCCAGACACCCACCCACAGCCCACGCAGGAAGGAAAGGGACTGCCCTATTTGGGGCTGGGGGAAATGACACGAAGAGAATCTTTTTGTTTGGTTGCAGCTTTTTTAGCACTATTTGCTTCAAAACCATTTCATCTATTTGACTCTGTTTCTGTTTCCCTTATGCCCCAGGAAGAAGGAGCCTTCACGGGCATTTCTCCCGCCTCCTTCTCCCCAGTACTTTTGGTATCCTGCCAAAGTAGAAAACGTCTCTATGGGACTGACCCAGAAATCCTTCCATCCATCTTCCAAAGCAATCAGGGGCCAGAGATCAAGAGAGACCTTCTGTACAGAAAATTAAGTCCTTGAAGGACCATATAGGTACACCTCTGCACTGCCGTTTTCCCCACAACACAATAGTAAAGCACGCACCTGCTAAATACCTTGCTCTCTTTCAGAGCTAGTTTAAAACCAAAGTTTCTAGCTTCCAGGTAAAGCATTTCCCAAGTGATAAAGAAAACAAGTAGAGGAAGAAGATGGACAGAAGGATGAAAATCTGTGAGCAGATATAAAATGCTGAATATAAATAATAGACTAAGGAAATGTTCAAAAAAAAGACACTGATGTCTCAGAAAATTCTAGATTTATAGTCTCCTTAGAGCCACTTTTCTTTTTTCTTTTCCACTGTTGGCTCTCATGTTGTTCTGGTCTCCAACATTATATCAGTATTACATTACTAATTCCAATTAGAGTGCAGTGTCCATACAAACTTCAAGGCAAAGTGACCTTTGTTTATTTTTAAGCAATTTTGGAAGTCTCATCTGCCTGAAGCCATAGGCCCAGGGTATAACAAATTCAGCTTGAGACCACTTTTTATCAGTTAAAAAAAAATAAAAATAATCTATAACTGCATAAAGTACTCACTATGACAGTTCAAGTTTTGTTCAAGTAATTCTAATGGGTCAATTTTCTACCACAGGAGTTCAATGAGGATCAATTATCTCATCACTGTTCTAATTTTATGCCAGGTTAAATATAGTTACTCTAGTGCAACCAGCATGTTAGGTGGTGCTGGAGAGACGGACTAGTGTGATCACCTATCCAAACCAAGCTATCATTGTCTGGATGAGTTCACTATCACCTGAATAAGTGATAGATTAGCTAACACAGAGAAAAGCAGGATCTATTATAATGCTCCATCTATTTGATTTGCTGCCAACTGATTTTCTAGCTGATTATAATCAGCACCAGAGACATTTTCCCAGCATTTGATACCTCCAGTGATGTGAGTCTTTGTAAAGACTCTTCTTCCACAAGTAAAACCTTCAAAAAACTCTAAACAATTCAGAACTTTCACCTAATCCCAAATAAACTCATCCTGACTCTTCAGAACCAGAAGACTGACCAGCACTGCCATAAAATATCCAGCATTTCCCTAAGCCTTGCCGTTTTTCTATTCAGAAACAAAGGGAAAAGAGTAGCAGGTGTACCGATACCTTGCTAAAAGTTTATCAGCAAAGTCATGAATTGCAAGTTACAGCAAAGAAAAAGGAATTGCAAAGTTAGACCACCATGGCCTAACAGTGGTCTACTGTATTTTCAGATTTTTTAGATTCTGAAAGATGTTGCAGCTACCGTAGATGCCACCTCCAGGAAATTTACCTGAAATTTAAGATTCCTGGCACCATGAACTGTTCCTTCCCAGGGTCCTGGGGTCCAGTTAAAGCCTGGAACAGAGCTTGAACACAGCCTGTTCAGGCACGTCTTAAAGCAGAAAGAGCAAAGCCAGAGATCTGCACTTCAGTTAATGTAGCTTTAGTGCTCCCGGCTTCTACATAGACAGACCTACCCACCTAGAAGCTCTACACTATACTGCTGTGTACATCAGAAATGCACCGCTATGAAAGTTACAGTTTAAGATCAGTGGTCCTTCAGCCTGCCCAGAAATGAATACTTGGCTAAGCACAAAGACAAATGACAGTCACCCTGGAGTTAGCATATCTTGGGACAACACACATCTGCCTTCCAGTTTGCTTGCTGCAACCCAGATTACTAGCTAAACACAGAAATCCATCTGGGAAACACATATAGTTCGTGCCTTCCCTGGAAATGCTCTTCTCACTCATCCAAGTAACAGTCATGGTAGAATACGAGCCACTACGGAACGATGGCATGGAGAAGAAACACCACATAACAAATTTGACAGGACAGAACATACCTGCCGAGATGGAAGACACAGTGAAAACAAGTGGAATTGATTGAACCAATTGAAATTCACAGAATCAGATCTGCATACTTTCAGCATTCTGGGGCACTCCAGAATTGATAAACTTGTCCACACTTGATAAACTTGCACACAAAGGAAGTGTGCACAGGCTCAGGTGCACTTCCAGCTGAGAAGTGATGTGGACAAATATTTCATCCTTAATTCTTAAAATGACACATAAATAACAAAAAGAATAAACCTCACTTAATAAATCTAATTTAAATGTCACTCTTTGAGAGTGAACACCTGTATTACTGCTTTTAACTTGCAGAGGCAGGGGTTGTGTATTTTTATTCACAGTTCTTTCTTCACCAGTGAAGCACGAAGCATTCAGTCACTTCCTACACATCCTACCAAGTAAAAGGCTACGAGGAAGCCCACAGACCTTTACTGTTTGCCCGCAGCATTGATTGTGTGAACCACCGGTCTATAACTGCCAGGCAATCCAAGACACAAAAGCGTGCCTGAATCATCAAGCAGCCTGCAACAGCTTCTGGGAACAGATTCTGCTGAATATCAGCATTCCACCTACGCGACAGCTCAAAAGCTTGAACGCTACAACTAATTTCTTGATTACCGAGAAATATCAGCTTTTACTTATATGTGATGCTAGACTTCAAATATATCAATTTGCATGTTGATATCACGCTTTAAAAAAAAATGGCTAGAAGTTAAAAATATAAGTGTAATCAATTGAAAGTTAGTTTCCTCACTGATTTAAACCATCTGTTCAAAATCTGATCTACCCTGATTTTATCGTGGATCTTTTTAAAGAAAAGTAAATATGTTTACTTGCTGTTCTGTAAAGATGGGGCAAACGCTTAACAGAAAGTAGAGGAACCACTTGCTGCTACAAATGTTTGCCCAGAAATGAAAATCCAGACAAAGCTCTCTTTGCCTGACAAAAGAGTTTAAAAAACTAAAAAACTAAACAAAACAAAAAACATTTCCCATATTTTTCCTTTGAGGTCAGGAGCGTTCACACTTTGGGTCTTCCTTTAGGAACGTACCTGTGGGAAGACCCTGGAGGGCTCTGTCAAGGAATAAGCAGACTGGAGTGACTACAGGAGGGCAAAAGCACACCAATTCTGAGACAGATTTACTTTGACATGTTCCTTCCTGTACACTGAGACCCAGAACACTGGGGACACGGAAGGCTGAGGACACAGTAAGTTTTCACACCAAAACATTACAGAGAAGATAAAAGTATTTCTGCTTTCAAAATGTAAGCACAGAACAGCAAAACTCTTCCTCCATGTACCTCTCAGAGCACTTGCATGTACTGCTTCATACCACAACAGTAATTAAATAAAACGCCTCGGTCTTCTGACCTGTGGAAGTTGACTAGTTGACTCCAACAGCTACTGCAGCATACATCCCATACATAAGCTTTTTTTTTTCTTTTTCTTCTTTTTTTTTTTTTTGAGTGGTGGGAGAGGTGGCAATCACCTGTGTCTTTCACCCATTCTAGAAGCCCCTCCTATGAACTAGAAAAGATGAGCTTTATGTAGGCCTTTATAGGCAGCCTGCTGCTACTAGACCCACTCCAGTCAAAATCTGAACTATTTTTAAATCTTATAACTTGAGTATATTGCCTTTATGTTCAGAGAATGACTGTTCTCTGAAGTCAGTAGGTAGCTCTGTGGGCCTATGTGCTAAAACTCTGGAAATACTGCATCTGCCAAGAATAAGATGCAAAACCAGTCTGGAAGCCCAACAGAGTAGGGACTTTGACTTTATCCAGCTCACTGTTAGCACTGTATTTTTTTCCTGCAGTGTTATGTCCCTTATTTTGTCAGGATAAATCAGGAAACCAGGTATTAACCCTGATTTAGAAACCCATCGGTTCACACACTACTCTGCAGCCACTTGCTAAAAGGTAGCAAATTAAGACAAAGTCCATTTCAGACTTAAGCTCACTCAGGATCCATATCTCCACAGGAAAATTGTTGGGAATACACAAATCAAGAGGTAAGAAAGAGCTTACAAATAAGAAAATCATGTACACTGTTAACAGGTAATCATATATTGCATAGAATCCCTGTCTGGCTCATGCTCTCTCCCCGCTGACTAATTTCCCACGGGATGTTAAGTCTGGATAAGAGCCACCTTTTTCCTTCAAAGTCAGCAGAACTTTGCCAACAGCAGCAAGCACAAGACAAAGCGTGGCAATTTCAAGCCCACAAAAGTTGGGCGGCTCAGCAGAGGAGAGCTCTCAGCAGCAAGAATCATCTTCAAACTAATCATCGCTGGTCAGTGTTTGCACTGCGCTGGCTCATTTCCTTGTGAAGGAAGAACATGCCACAGGGCATGCACCGTCACAGTGATGAGAGAGCAAGAAAAATTCCTCCCCATTACAATCCCAGAACAGATTAGGCAGCTTTATGGGGTGATTACACATCCAGTAAATAATGTTGTTTCTACATTAAACAGCTACCCACTGCCCACTCCTCATCCTTGCCAGGCTCTCATCCTTGCACTTCACTACTGCTTGCGTATGATAACGCACAAGATCAGAACCAACTTTTTTATACATTAGTAAAAAAAGGACATAAAACTACATCTCAAGTAATATCAAGATGCCATTCTTTCAATTGCACTCAGCATTCTACGGAAGAGTTCACCAGTCCCAGCCCATCCCTTGTTTGGAGCACTTTTACCCCCCAGCCCTCATCACCTTATCAGACAGCACCTAATTCATGTGACCCACCCTGCCTTTATCTTTTCCATACCAACTCCCCCGCACTCTAGGAGGATCCTGCTTCGGGAAGCAGCTGGAAGCAGTTTACCTGGTGTGATCTGGCGGGCACGCTGTTTACCAGACCCTCTGTGTCGGAGGGCGACTTCTGTGGAGCCTGCTTAACCGGTGACATCAAGCTCTCAGATGTACTGCAGCTGACGAGGTGGCAGAGCAGAGTTTGCACGACAATGTTCAAGAGGCACACAAATAAAAAAAAAAAAGAACAAAAACAAAAAACGAGTGATGGCAAGATGATGTGGCAGATTATGCCAAAGTGAAAATGAACATAATGGATTCTGAAATAAACACACATAATGCTCCATCTCTCCCCAGACATTTCTCTATCCTTCCTCCCAATGTCTCACTGGTAAGCAACATGAAGGAACAACTGTTAAGATAGCACAGCAGCTCCTCCAAACCCCCTGTTCCCTAGATGTTACCATTCAACCCAACCTGTCTAAGGCCATGTGTTTTCTTCACTGAGGCTTCAGACTCAGTCAACAGTGGTAAACAGCAATTATCTTCTAACTATAAGCTAAACAGTCCCAGTCACTGAGGCAAGCATTATACCAGTGCTACAGTTAGAGATAACACTTGCAAGAGCCACCAGCTCTCCATACCAGAAGGGTACTTCCTATCAAACTCCACATTAGTTCCCTTGCTTTTGGTTAGGCTACAATCCCAAAATAATTCTGCCCACTCACAACAGACACTAGTCTCTGGTGAAATTACAGGAAGAGTCACATGTGACATGTAAGCTATGTGCCCTGATATAACTACTTGAACAGGCAAATTTTGTTTTTCAAACAAGAACACTGTCTTGTGGTGAGAACCAACACCCCTAAAAGAAGGTTGGCCGTTTTCACTCTCTGTTTGCTTCTTTCCCTCTGCTTAAAGCAGGACTGAAAAGAAAACAAGCCAGTGACAGAGCAATGAATACCACAGAGGTAGGTGTATGAGAAAATGCCCTTCAACTTAACATCAGTAGCTTCTGGGCAATGCAGTAATGGGTGTCTACGTGCTAGGTCTACCTCCTCACACCCAAGCACCCAGGAAAGAAAACTAGCCACCTCCTTGACAGTAGACATAGGAGTTCCCTTTGCTACCACAACCCTTTGACAACTAGGCATCCTTCTCCCCCAGTCTTTATAGACAGACAGTGTACAAAGCAAGTACAGAAACAAACAAATGAGGACAGTGACATTAAGCAGACCACTTCCTCACAGGGCAATCATTTTTTTATCCTGTGGTAAGTCTAACCATAGAAGACTTAGCTCCTCATACCTGTAGCAGTAAGAAAAAAAAAAAAACCAAAAAACTGCCCCCAGCCATCATGGCAAGGGGCTTCCACGGTCTCAAACAGAGACAAAGCAGCCTTTCTGTTATCAAAATGATGTAATTGTGAATTGTTTGCTTTTTTCACAAAATTCCTCAGATCTACACTATCTCAAAGTCATAATGCAGGTTTAAACAACCAATGCACTTAGATCACCACAGGTTTTCAAACACCCAAGCTGTCTGAGCCAGAGAAACACTTACAGGGAATTTACTTTTATTTAGACACAGAAAGGGCTCTGAATTTCCCTGTGCTTTAGTCAATGCACTGGCAAGTTCACTGTTGGAAGAGATGGAGAGACACCACCTGGGATAAGCAGCAATCCCACCCCAGTTAGACATGAGACAATGAAACCCAAGCACCCAGTGAAATGCATCATCCCTTTGCCAACAGATTCCAGCACAAATTACAGTGAAGTTATGTTAGCAGAGAGCTAGCTGGTTAGTCAGCAAAGGAAGAGGAAACGTGTACACATACACACAGGTATTAACAGCAACCACCAACTTGATTAGTTACCATGGTGTCTAGTGGGACTGGAAGAGAAGACCCAGCCCTGTTACATTCCCAATCTGGCGTCTATATCAGGATCTCTGTAAGGAGAGGAAGGTAAGCAGGATCCGATCCCAGCATACCCAGGCAGAAAGAAAAAAAAAAAACAAACAAAAAAACACCAAAGTCAGAGCATGAATGGAGACTGTGGCCATGCAGGTGTTCCAGATGCCGCGCAGTGCCCCAGCCCACCTCAGTTCAAGGAAGAATGGTTATCTAGAAGTAAGCACATCTCAACACCACCACCACCACACACTGGGTTAGCATCACGTAGAAGAGAGTCCATAAGTTTGGAGGGGGTCACAGCACGCTTGGTTTCTCTTTACACATCATGCAGAGCTGCCATGGTCAGTGAAAGCAGTATTTAAACTTCAGAGATTACTTTCCCGAGAGAGTAGTTAATTCTACTACAAGAAATTACAGTGCACGAACTACTGTTCCAGGCTGAGCACCAGCATGTGTCCCTCACCAGGAAGACACCAGAGAGCAGGTCACTGGAAAGCAAGGCAAGCCTTATGCACACTGCTGGTGCATGACACTGCAGGCTTCTTTTCAGTTCTTAAGGTAAGGGTGCATGCAAAAAGGAAAAACCAGGCTTCCCACACAATTTTCAGCACACACAGCCGCCTTCGCTATATTTAGCCTTACCATTGGGCAATAGCCAACTCACTTTCTCTAAGCTCTCCAACTGGGAAAAGGACAGGGCAAAGTTTAATTTAGAAATCCCCACAAGTTTATTTTTGGAGTTACTTTCTTTTATCCCACAGGCAAACCAAAGAACCTGCAGGAAGCAGGAATATTCGTTGGGAAAAGAACAAAACTAAGTTATAGGTTTGGGGTTTATTTCTAAGACTACATACATAATTTTCATTCTTTCTTATAGAAGCAAATTACCAGCTAATTAGAGAGGAGAAAAGAGGAAGCACTTCCCCCACCAGCACCAAGCTCCACCACCACAGGACTCAAGTCTGCCTTTGTTAGTTCCTGTTGCTTTTTCGTATGTCCACTCAAAGATCTGTGTTCCACTTTGGAGTTATCCTCCTAACACTAAAAACCTTGTGGGGATGGTAACAGTTCACAAAAACCCAGACAGTGTGTGAGAATGGATGCGGATTGGATACTCCTCCCTTAATTTGAAGTGTGGTGATGAATGGGGTTTTGGCAATTACACTCCAGGCTCAGGAGCCAGACACTGGTAACTGAAAAATCCAGTCTTAATCTCACCACAGAGCATTCCTTAACAGTGCATGTGTGGCACTTTTCCTTTGGGGTTGGGGGTGGTAAGGGGAAGCAGGGCTGGAGGGAAGGGAAGGGGAACAGACCAGAGCTAGGGGATCTTGGATTAAATGTTCATAGGGCATATACGGTTGTGGCTGGGGATCAACTCCAACTTTTAGCGATTTTTGGGTGCAACTCATGGTCAGTAGGTCTTTTCAAGCACAGTACAAAGGTAATCATTATAGGCAGATGGCCAGTGTTCCATGTGGCCATACCCTACCTCTAGCCATCGTTGCCAAGACTTGGCTGAAACAACTCCTACCCCCCTATAAGCCCTCCCTCTGATCCTGCTGCTGTTCCTCACATCATCCATAGGTGAGGAGGGAGATCTCTTACCCAGAGTATCGTTTTTTAGAGTTGTTCTTTCTGATGACAAGACACACGACAATAGAGATGAGCGGTGAGAGACCTGTAACCGTACCGATGACTATCCCTGCCACCATGGCAATGGGGAACGCAGGCAGGCTGTCTGGGGAGAGAAGGGAGAAAACATTCAACTCTTCTGCATTCCCTGATTAACAGAAGTGCAAACCACAAATACTCTTGACCTTGGATTTGTTTAGAGCAGAAGGCACTAAAGTAATATCCAGGAATTATAACATGCAGCCTAAGTGGTAGTGATAGCAGGCAGCCAGCAGAATAATGTATGAACAGAGCACACACCAAGAGTGTTCTTAATCTCACCGTCCTTCAGAAGAGTTTATATTGAACAAAGAATTTTTACATGTCAGGGAACACAAGTGAAAACGAGGACAACCCTGTCTCATTTCATAGCTGAGGTGAGGGAAAAAAGGTTACACTCATCTGGCCATTCCCAGCGAGGTCAACAGGAAAAGGCAGGCACACTTGAAAGCAGATTTGAACGTAGCGCATTGCCAACCAACTCAGAGCACTGAAGGCTGGCTGTTCTCTGGGCAGCATGCAGCAGACAGCCTAGTTACTACCCATGATGTCTCTTAAGAGTGAGTATACATGATTCTGGTGTCTCAAAATGCATCTCTATACATTTTTATAGAGTCATTCTTTCCCTTCTTAAGTCAAGATCATTGTACAATATCAGAAATATGCTTACAGGAACATAGTACTGCTTTACTCACATTTTCCCCAATATAATTTTGGGGGAGGGTAGGCCAAGAAAGAGCAGACAGAAATAAAAGGCAATCAGAGAATGAGTACAAATTACTTATAAGGTAAAGAACACACAGACTGCCGTTATAGCTTTTCCCAGTAAGAAATGAAGTCCCTCCCCTCCTCCCCATTGTGTTTTAATGGAAGGAACATCTCAGACCAGAGGGTTTCTCACAAGACTCCATGCTACACTAGCTATTTGCATCAAAATGCAAGTGAATCAGCGTAACATCCAACACGTAAAACATCTTACACAGAAAAATCTTTCTCAGATACCTGCATCTGATCATCACAGAATTGTTGAGGTTGGAAGGGATGTCTTGAGATTGTCTTGAGAGACCCCCTGCTCAAGCAGGGTCAACTATCACAGTTTGCTCAACACTGCCCAGTTTGGTTTTGACTATCTCCAAGAATGGGAGACTCCATAAGCTCTTTGGGCAACCTATTCCAGTGTTCAACCACAGTAAAAATGTGTTTTCTAACACAGACAGAATTTCCTGTCTTTCAGTTTACGCTCATTGTCTCTTGTCCTGTCACTAGGCACCACTGAAGAGCCTGTCTCAGTCTTCTTTAGATCATATCAATGTACATAAACACCCAGTGAGACGATCCCCCTGTGCCTTTCTTCTCTTTTGCAGGCTAGACAACCCCAGCTCTCTCAGCTTCTCCTCACAGGAAAGGTGGCCCAGTCCCTTAATCCTCTTAATCTCCCTTTGCTGGACTCATTCCAGCAAGGACCACAAACCATGCTTATACAAAGCATTCCCAGAAAGTTTGCAGTCTGTAGGCGAAGCCCATTTTGACCTACTTATCTAGAAGGGAGACGCGCACCACAGTACCCTGAAGCAGGGGCATCATACTAAGAAAACAGGGCTTACATTTAGTACCGCTCATTTTGAGTTCAGTAACTTTCAGAAGGGCTACCTGATCTCTAGCCATTTCACTGATCATACCATCATTTGGCCAAATATTGCATCAGCAGCTCTCCTAGCTCTCCAGTGTTAGATGGCAATTCATAACAACACAGTAATTCAGAGTCTTCGTAAGAAATTAAAGATGAAGACAGGCGTGCTGCAATTTAGAGGAAGACATCCCTTCTTTCCAGAAACTTTTAGCAGCCCTGAGATCTATCCACTATTAAGGAAGGGAGTCCTACAAATGGTAATACTTTTCAGGTACAGAAGAGTGAGATTGTGTTTGAGCCCCATGCAAAGATAATCAAATTCCTTTTGAGGCATATAAGCAGTAGGATTTCTGTTAGCAGACCACCTGTTGCCTTGTACACAAGAAAAAAACAAACCCACACGCTTTTTCAGAGCAAGAAAGTAAGCACCAACCCAAAACTATAGTGCCAAGTGTCTGCTAAAAGAGTGATATTAAAAATTTGGCACTATCTAATCTGAGAGTTTGGGGATTTCTTTGACTCAGGTGGGGTTTTTTGGTTGGTTGAATTTGAGTAAAGGACAGCAGTTATGTTCTGTTGACAGAGGTTTTTAAGACTGTATAAAAAACCGCAACTGTTCGTATGTGAAACTAGAGTCTGGCTTTATTGCCTCTCAGAACATGGTCCAACATGGTCCAACAGACAATAGAAAAGCTCACACAATTTTACAACCACATACTTCAGCTGAAGAACGTCACCCCTCAGTTTTTCTTATATTTTTCAGCATTCCATAGTTACATGAATTCCTCGTAAGTACTTGCAGAGCAGCCAATGACTCCACTGTAACAGACAGTCCCAGCTACATAACCAAACACTAGCTCTGAAAGCTAACATTTAAGTTAATAGCTTAACACAAAACAAAAATCCAGCCTTTCAAAGAACACTTTTCACTAAATATGACTGTAATTAAAAGCAACTTCCATTTGCACTGAAAGTGTGTTAGTATCAGTTTTATCAAATACGCAAGAAACTGAAGTTTTCCATTGCTGCTAATATTTTCATATGACAATTCTAATTTTTTCCCCCATGAGAGTTCAGATCAAAGATGGACTACCTCCAGATAACAATGTGTTCAAGACAGCTTGTGTTAAGTAGCTTCCTATTACAAGTAGGGGCAGCCTAATGTAAGGACTTGGAACTCCCTACAAATTTGTGTCATTTAGGCTTTGAACAGCAGTCCTTTCCAGGTTCAGATGGACTAGTGAAAGGACAGTCTTGCTTCTCATTCCTGCCAGTAGGACTCTTCCAACGTAGTTGATGGAGCTCTTTGTGCAAACACTATGTAGATACTGCAGTGAAAATCAGCTGAGTTAGTTTGGCAATTTTAAACAGTTAAGCCACCCTGGAATTTATTACATGTTTAATTCAAAATCTAAGGCTGACCAAGCATCTATGAGATCATTTAAATGTGTAAAGTATGTATGTGGCTTTGAACAGTTTACAACACCAGACATATGATTCAGAACAATTAAATGTATACATAGTAAAAAAAAAATACGCGCAAGAGTCAACATGTACTTATTTCAATTGAAAAAATTTCTCCAGCTCAGTTCAGGATGAGTTACAACCTATTACAAGAGCAGTACTTCCAGGTAAAGTCAGAATGCAAGACAACATTACAGCTATAGCTTGAAAACCTGTTTTCAAGGTCTTCCTAAGAATTTGAAGAAAATTGTTGCAGCATTTTTCTGATGACGAGAAGTATTGCCAAATACAGGGTTCCCTTCAGAAACAGTGAGATTCTCTTGTCCAGATGCTCCACCTATGGGGAAGCCGGCATGCAAGTCTGTTGAAAAATATCAGCTGAATTAGTGTACTGAAGTCAGTCTTCATTTGCTTAACCTGGGTTAAAATCTGAAGAGGCTTTGCCCAGACAGCCTAACTTTGCCAAACCAGCAGTTGCTTTACTGCTTCTTCATAGAGACTATCAATACATTGTAAGAAAATAAACTGACCCTATTTGATATAGGCTTCAAACTTCCAAGAATCAAAAAGTTCTAAGTGATGGCAGGACCTCTGGAGGCCCCATCCAACTCAAACTGTTCTGTGAAGAGAAGGGTTAGATATAGACCTTGGCTACATAAGTACATGGAATGACCTCATGAGCAGGGATACACACCTGTTATAGCAGCAGCATCGTTCTAATTGGAGTATACACATAGGTATCTTCCCTAACATATTAAAATCTAATGGAATAGCTGTATCAGCACTGACGTTTATGAATTCAACATTTATTCTTGTCATTATTCAATATAAATTTGGAAATCTGATCACTGTAAGAACCATTTCATTGTAGGAACAGTCACGCTTTGGCTGACGTCCTGCTTAGCTAGAACTATCAAATGTTTTGGATGGCCAGGGGAAATAGAGAGCCAAATCGACACGCAGAATGTAAGTGCTCTTGAACTGTGATCATTGCTGCCAAACGCTAATCAGAAGCTTTAAATGACTGCAGGTAGCCAGCCCTTGCCATTTACAAGTGTCACCATGGACACTGTAAGAATATCCGAGTAAAAGAGACTGAATGCACATCCAACACAAACACCTTCACATCAAAGACAGTCACATCTCACTGTCTGTCAAGTACAGGCTCGGGCCAGATTATTTGTTTTGTTTTCCAGTATATATACTAGATGGGTTCCAAAAAGAAGGGTCAGCCACTTTGGCTCCTTAATCCCCAGATTTCAAGTCATCCTAACCCTTCGTGTAGCATAACACAAAAAAAAATTCATAGGACTTTGAAATGAGAAGATGGGTTTTCATCAAGGCTTCCATCAGCTTTTGCTAATACTTGTTAAAAGCATAGGAATTAGTGGGTATAGAGGGAAGGAGTATGAAATGTAGTGTTTTAAACAGCTGACAGAATATCAGTTTGATTATTAGGACCCGGAAGAAGAGAATTAAAAAGACAGTTGTTCCCTCTGGGCTACTCCCCCATCCCCAAGAAAAGTGATACAGACACAGAAGGGAAAAAAAAAAAAAGAAATCATATAGGGTGAATACCTTTCTCCACAACTCTAACTCGTATTTCTCCTGGTTTGACAACAATGTCAGGTGGGTTCTTGACATCACAAATGTAAGTGCCGTTGTCCCGGAACTGCATGTTTGATATACTGATAGAAGCATCTTTCTTGTTAAGATCTCCAGCCCAAGTGATCCTGTCTTTAAATGGTATGTCCTTTCCAGGATATGGCTTTCCATTAAAGTAATAGAAAAACTGTAGTCAAGGAAAAGAGGATATAAGAACAATCCAATTAGAGAATACAGAGCTTTGATACTTCTCTCACTATTACATCATTCTCCCAGAATCCACTGTATTATACACAGCTAGTATTTGAGATTTTTTTTCCTCCTGCCTCACCACTTTAGTCTGGTTTGTTGCCTCTTGATGACATAACCATGATGTGGCTTGTACCTCAAACATACTAGCACGACAGACTGCAAGTTCCAGTTTTCTGTTGGTGTTATTTTGTTTTGTGGTTGGATTGTTTGGGTTGTTTGTTTTTTTCCTGTTTTTGGGGACACAGGGTTTCACAGACAAGGAGGCAGGGGAAAGAAAAAAAGGCTGTTAACCTGGGAATAATTAAAGCATAGAACAGTTCTGGATCGCAGCCATCTGTCTTTCAGGCACAGGAAGCCTTCTGCATCCGAGTGGGAAAAGGATACCAAGTTTCCTATGTCACGTTTTGCTGTGTTACTTGCACGTTAATTTAGCTGTGCTGTAGTTGCAATACCCTCTTTCCCTCCACCCTCCAAAAAATCCCATAAGCAATTTAGAGCGCACCTAGCTGTTTTCCAGAAACCTTCACAGTGACTAAATATAACTGTTTCCCAGTTTTTAGGTGACCAAGTTCCACATTGGCTCTGCGCTCCTTAGACATGACCAAAAATCCTTTGAAGAATGAACCTGTTTAGTACAGTCTGAGGAGAAACTTCTTATTTCCTCGCTATACCTGAGCAAAATTGAATTTACAGCAGTAAAAGTACATAGACCTCTACAGGACAACTCTGCTTTCAAACAATGGGATGTTTAAACACTGGCCATTAACCCTAAAAGAGGGATCAAGGCTGTATTGCAGGGGCACATTCATTCTTAATTTCACATACTGAAAGAGAGAGTGACAACCTTAACTCAACCAAGAATCAACTTGAACTCTCTTCAAGTTCAGTCTCCAGAGCACGGTTAAAGAAACTTAAGACAATATTCCAGCTTCCTCTTTCTACAGCCTTCTTTACGAAGCAGTTTCTCTGACAGAACAAACTGGCTACAAGCAATTCAACTCATCTCCCACCTCTTTTCCCATTCCTATCCTTGATCTGAGGCCTGCCATTCCAACATCTTTTCTATCAGACCCTCACTCTGAACATCATATAACACTGAATATCAGGCCTGATCATTCGGCAGCACAAACCTTATCCAGATCAGGTACGGGCATATGACTATCTGTTGTGCTGCAGTCAATCTGACACTTATTTGTTGTCTACAGGCTAGCATAAATCCAACGAACTATCTCATCTGGTAGGAAGTCTGCTAGCACAGCCTCATCTGTCAACATTTCGGAGGAAATCTGCATCAGTCTGCAGCGTTTCCAGCCGGATTATAACCTCTAGCACAGAGGCACTACATTACCACACCCCTGTGCATGGGGGGAGTCATCTGACTGGAAGTCTAGAAGGCAAGAGGCAGATCCCTTAGCTCTCTAGGTATGCTCACCTGGGGGAGGAGAAATCATAAAGTAAAATATGTCCTGAAACACAAACTAAGTGACTCAAGTCACTCCATGCCTATGATTAAGTGATTTACATGAGACTTCTTTTGAAACCTAAAGCTGATGGGTTTAGACTGGTTTAAGCCGATTGTGAAACTCTGATATCATCAGATGTTTCATTCACGCAGAGCTGTCTCTATAACCGGCCATGTGGAGGGGGAAGGGGACAAGCAGGGGAAGCTTTCGGTCAAGTCACCCTCACCACATGGCCACAAGATTGCCAGTCCCAATTCTAAAGAGGCACGGGACCATCCTTTTCAGGAGAAGCATGGACTTAGCTCAGACTTAAGCTGATCATGAGACTGATCTTTCAAATTAATGCCCACCAAGCCGTGTAATTGACATGACCTGGATTCATAAAAGTAAAATATCTTCCCATCTTCCTCTCTATACCTTCCCCAGCCCCTCGAAAGAGACAGGGAATTAACATCAGATCATGCTGGGTCACTTCTGCTCAACTCAGTTGTGCTGATAACTACATCTGGGTAGAATGTCTGAATTGACTTCACTTCCAAAAAGATGTTATGTCCTGAAGTTGTATTTCTACAGTAAGGAGTTTGGACAGTGATGTGGAAAGGAAAGGGCAAAAACAGGGTATGTGGTGGATTTTTCTATGGGGAACGGAAAACATACAAATGGATGGCTTCTTTTCACCCATCCTGTTCAACATTGGCAGGAAATATGCCCTACTTCCTTAAGCTTTTGCCCAGGAACTGCTTTGGCTTCCAAAAGAGAAGAGGTTCCTTTTCAAAACTAAATTTTTTTCTTCACTGAGAGTTCAGAAGCTGATTCCTCAGAGCTCTACATATTGAGTGAGATGCTTATACACTGTTTTGGACCTTCTCTATTCTGAGCATTGAAGGGCTTCTGGAGTTTAAATGATCTCACATCTGCAGCAGCGGGAAGGAGACAAACACTAACAGTCTGAGCAACCTGCTGTCCCCCCACACCTCCCCTGCTGCCCCAGAGTACCTTGTTCTGCCTCTTCCAAATTCTGGCTCAGGGCAAGGAATAAGAGGAAAGCAGAAGTGTCAGAGAACTCAGACATGTCTGATGCAACAGAGGAAGAAGACAGCAAAAAACCTACCGAAGACCCTTCTTTGAAGGTTCATACCCAAAGGATCTGAGCACACTAGGGCTCAACATACAGGAAATGAGCGATAGCAATTATTATTAGCCTAAGTTGCTTGCTAGACTGATTTTTTACTTATCAAATAACTAGATATAAGGATGTAACTGCTTACTGATTTGAGCAATTCAATTCTGTTCTGAAACCAGAGAGACTGGTCTTATTTTAAGCCCTTTCAAATAGAGGCTAAACAGTACACAAGCAGAAAATAAGCAACATGCACAACACACAATATAACACTGTAACAGTGGTAATTCAAATTCTGTGACTGCTATAATTCAATGCACAGCTCAACAGCTCATTTCAAGTGCAGGAAGATGTAGAACTTAGGAGAAGATTCCTAGATGCTCATCTACTTCATACATACAGCTACCACACCAATACCCCTCTCCTCTAACAAAGTACTAGTATATTTTACAGCTGCTGCACACTCCAGCCTTTGCAGAGACCTAGCATATAGCAATACTTTTAAACAAATCTAAAAGCCCCCGTAAAATCACAGTGATGGAGACAAGGCACATGGAAGGAAGCTCCAATCCATATTTGCTTGGCTCCACAGAACCGACTAGAAGACTTCCGCACACTTATCATAGCCTCCCCTCCCAGGTTTGCTCCCCTACAGCCGTTCCTTACTGAGATACGAGTTGCGGCTCCCTCTGGTTGAAAACTCCAAGAAACAGATGCTGCGCTGCTGATCACTTCCACAGATGTAAATGTGCATGGAAGCTTTGCGTCTGTCCCATTCTCCACAAATATCTCCTCCGGTGTGTTGACCTCTACTGCTGATACTTTGACTGTATGGGAAAGGTAAAGAGAAGAAAGAAGGAGAAGAAGCGGCATCAGTGCTGTTTCCAGAATCAGGAAGCTGAAGTGGTAACTGTTCATATCGCATTGCTTATAAGTGGAAAAGAGAAGAGACATCAACAACTCCTACATCAAGTGCACAGACATTGCATTATACCTTCAATATAAACACATACAGAGCAGGCCAGTTCACTTCTCTTTCCTTGCATTATCTGTTACAGGATGTTTTCCATCCACAGATGTTTCCTCCACACCAGTTTGTGGAAGTCAATTCTATGGTGCAAAGGATGAGCTTAAAACTCTTCCCGGCTAGCTGCTAGCAGACACTGTAATAAATAAGCCCCATCGGAGGAACTAACATCTCAGACCCAGCAATTATTCAGTTTCCTCTATGGCTCACATCTTGTTTCCCATCTCCAGTTTTCTCAGCTGTAGGTAGAACAATAGCTCACCTCCAGAAAGCTCTCTGGCTCCCAGCTATGCCATCTGCATCTGCTTCTGCTTTCTGGCATGCTTCAAGGTCTTCATGTGCAAGACCTCATAAATAATCACTCAGCTATAGTTCAGAAGCATGAGAGCAGTTTAATTTTTTTCTACCATGAGGCTTATGCATGGTCAAAACAGCAAGCAGACCGCAACCACCCCCTAAATTTAAAGTAATAAAGGTTAATATTGTGCTTGCACTGGTAGTTTTCCTATAGAGTAAATGAAATTCAGCATAATTTGGAAAACCTGTTGAACATATTCTTTATGTGGCACCTTTTAAACTACAAAGATACTATCCATATCTAAGCAAAGGCACATCTGTACATTCATTCAGGTTTATGTTAAAAAACAACACGTGTTCTTGTGACATCACAAAAGAATGTCTTTCAGCATCCATGTCACGTCCACGTGAAAGCAAAAATCTTGTAAAAATCACTGTGAGTGGGTGCGCAATGTGACATGCACCCGGCAACTCAAATGTAAGTTTTGATTTTTAGTAAACCATGGTTTTCAGCATAGAGATGGTACTAGTAATGTGCTTCTGATCACAGGATTCTATGTTTCTGGGCTGCAATATCTCCAATTCAGGGGGTTTCCTCCCCTACTAGAAGGGGAAAGCAAGCCTTCCTGCTTCTTCAGTATCTTAGCTGATTTATTTCTCAGCTTTGAATAAGTTAGCAACTTTGAAGTAGGCAAACTGAAGAGAAATATTCCAGTCAAAGACAGTTTAAAATAGTTAAATGAATAAAGAAAAATCCCCCACCTGCGTTAGTCCTTACATCATGGGGTTTATGCTTTTAGTCAGTGAGTTACCAGCTCAGCAGCCTTCAAAAGTCAGATAGCAAGCTTCTTTTAAGTGCTATGACCATGCTAAGGGGCAGATTTGCCATAAACCAGGTTACTTTATCAGAGCTTAAAATTAAGCAAAGCCCACGCTCCATAGAGAATTTTAGAAACCGTCTTTTACATATGTGACTTTAAGCCTTGCTCCCCAAGAAAGCAAAGCTCACGTGAGCTGCGCCACCTCCCATCTTCCTCGCCCCGAGACCACAGAGTCTATTGGGCAACTCCAGCCGACAGGCTGCGGCACAGGGGGACCACAAACATGGCAGGCAGCGGCAGCCAGCCCTGCAGTGCAGACCGCCTGCCAGCTCTGGAGCCATAGTTCAGTCAATTAAATGGCCAAACAATGAAAGAGATGAAAACAGCCCGGCCATCTGGGTATGCCTGACAATCGCTGTGTGCATGGCTTCGTAGGAACCACTGTCTCTCACCCAACCAGCATGGCAAGCCAGGGGAAGGCAGAGCACTTGCCCAGGGGACATGGGATGTGCATGCAAGCACTGCAGGGATGGGAGAATTAAGCATACCAGTTTAATTGCAATAACCAAAACCAGACGAAACCACCGTTCAGTCACTTTGCCATTCAGAGTCCACGCTGTTCACTTCTCAAACTCACTACCTCCTCAGTCCCATTAGGTTATCCCTGATCCCTCAGACTCCCCCGTTCATCACTGCTCTCATTCCAAAGGAGTGAAAGGAGAAACAGCACCCTAAGGGAGGGGGATTGTCATCAAGAGTTTGTATCAGAGCTTCCTTTCTCTTGTATGTACTCTGACTAGGGCCAAAAAATATTCTTTTGTAAAACAATTACCAAATATTTATTTGGAACATACAAAGGCTTCTGGCAATTCAATGACATGAACTCAGAGCTGCTGTGCTTTATGTATTTTTTCCAGCTAATGAAGTAGAAAAGAAAAAAAAAATATAAAATTAATTGTTTTGAGTCCAAGCCACAGAACAAGCCTTCCTTTCAAGCATAAAACAAGCAAGATGCCCTCAGCACTTGTGTAGGAGGAAAAGAGTCTGCACAGACATTGTCTGCTTGTACATGGTACGGAGAACTCCTTGCCACACACAGGCAGTGGGTAGCACAGATCTGCTTAATCTAAAGAAGTCACTGTTCTAACTCACTAGGAACCTATGACAGAACTGTAGTGAAGCAAAAGAAAAAAAAATAATCTGACTTTACAGTCTAGGAAGGCAGAACTCTGTAATTTTGTACAGATATTTCCAGCAAATTTAATTTTCGTTTGTCCTACTGTTGTCTCAACTTCACGTTTTTCTTTGCTCTTTCTCTCCCCCCAGCACAAAAAAAGTCCTTCACTTTATTTGCTCTTTCAGTGTGCACTGCTCTTACAGTGTACACCGCTTCAAGAAAATTTCTCCTGCCTCTGTTGTTTTATAGCATGGGACATAAGCTCCTCAAATCTTAATGGGATTTCACAAGGCTACGCAGGGAGAAAACTAGAAGAGCCAAAACCCAACTTGAACTTAATCTGGCTACTGCTGTAAAAGACAATAAAAAATGTTTCTATAAATACATTAACAACAAAAGCAGGACTAAGAAGAATCTCCATCCTTTATTGGATACAGGGGGAAACATAGTGACCAAGGATGAGGAAAAGGCTGAGGTACTTAACGCGTTCTTTGCTTCAGTCTTTAATAGTACGACCAGTTGTTCTCTGGGTACTCAGCCCCCTGAGCTGGAAGAGAGGGATGGGGAGCAGAATGAAGCCCCCATAATCCAAGAGAAAATGGTTAGCAAGCTACTACACCACTTAGACGCACACAAGTCTATGGGGCTGGATGGGATCCACCCAAGGGTACTGATGGAGCTGGTGGAAGTGCTCACCAAGCCACTTTCCATCATATATCAGCAGTCCTGGCTAACTGGGGAGGTCCCAGTTGACTGGCGGTTAGCAAACGGAACACCCACCTATAAGAAGGGTTGGAAGAAGGATCCAGGGAACTACAGGCTTGTCAGTCTGACCTTGGTGCTGGGGAAGGTTATGGAGCAGATCATCTTGAGGGCCATCACGCAGCACATACAGGGCAACCAGGTGATCAGGCACAATCAGCATGGGTTTATGAAAGGTGGGTCCTGCTGGACAAACCTGATCTCTTCCTATGATATGACAAGGTGACCCACTTAGCAGATGAGGGAAAAGCTGTGAATGTTGTCTACCTGGACTTCAGTAAAGCTTTTGACACCCTTTCCCACAGCATTCTCCTGGAGAAACTGGCTGCTCGTGGCTTGGATGGGCACACTCTTTGCCGGGTAAAAAACTGGCTGGATGGCCAGTCCCAAAGAGTTGCGGTGAATGGAGTTAAGTCCAGTTGGTAGCCGGTCACAAGTGGTATTCTCCAGGGCTTAATATTGGGGCTGGTTCTATTTAATATCTTTATCAATAATCTGGAGGAGGGGATCGAGTGCACCCTTAGTAGGTTTGCAGATGACACCAGGTTGGGTGGGAATGTTGATCTGCCTGATGGAAGTAAGGCTCTACAGAGGGATATGAACAGGTTGGATCAATGGGCCAAGGCCAACGGTATGAGGGTTCAACAAGGCCAAGTGCTGGGTCCTACACTTGGGTTACAACAACCCCATGCAGTGCTACAGGCTTGGGGAAGAGTGGCTGGAAAACTGCCTGGCAGCAAAGGGCCTGGAGGTGCTGGTCAACAGCCAGCTGAACATGAGCCAGCAGTGTGCCCAGGTGACCAAGAGCATCCTGGCTTGTATCAGCAATAGTGTGGCCAGCAGGACTAGGGAAGTGACTGTACCTCTGTACTCAGCACCGGTGAGGCCACGCCTCGAATACTGTGTTCAGTTTTGGGCCCCTCACTACAAAAAAGACATTGAGGAGCATGTTCAGAGAAGGGCAACAAAGCTGGTGAAGGGTCCAGAGAACAAGTCTTATGAGAAGCAGCTGAAGGAACTGGTGTTGTTTAGCCTGGAGAACAGGAGGCTGAGGGGAGACCTTATCACTCTCTACAACTACCTGAAAGGAGGTTGTAGCGAGGTGGAGGTCGGTCTCTTCTCCCACGTAACAGGCAATAGGACAAGAGGAAATGGCCTCAAGTTGCACCCGGGGAAGTTTAGATTGGCTATTAGGAAAAATTTCTTCACTGAAAGTGTTGGCAAGCATTGGAACAGGCTGCCCAGAGAAGTGGTGGAGTCACCATCCCTGGAGGTATTTAAAAGATGGTTAGACGTAGTGATGAGGGACATGGTTTAGTGGTAACTTGGCAGTGCTAGGTTAATGGTTGGACTTGATGATCTTAAAGGTCTCTTCCAAGCAAAACAATTCTATGGTTGTTTGGAAGTGGTAGCAAGGCCATTTGACATTTGTTCACCCTTAGTCCTCTACTCACATACACTCACTGATACAGTGGCAATTCCCACTACCTTGAACTCTTTGGCCTCCTCTGCCATAATAAAATCCACATGGATCATCTCTAGCTCCAGGTCTTTTCTGTCTGTTTCCACATTTGCCAGGATTACATCCTTCTTCCAGCTCCTCCAACTCTTTAAATACTTCAGTTGGAGAAAGTTGAATTTTGAGTCATATTTCAGTCGTATTTACCCACTGCTCCATTCCTCAAGCTTCCTCAACCTTAGTTCCTCTCAAGAGGAAAAAATTTATAACTGGCTAAGAGAACTTTAGGAAAGGAAGGTCTCCAAAGTACGTAGGGCAAAGATAAAACATTTGCTCTTCTCCCATAGATCTTCCTTGATCCCATCACCCTGTCCAACTGCCTGTAGCCCCAATATTTCCCTCTGAATATCTCTTCTAGCCTTCACTTGCTTTAATTCTTCTTTTCAGCAGAAAGATGCTTCTCTTTTTCTCCACCAAAATTGTTGGAAAAAACACACTTGTGCCTCTTCACCCATTTCTATTTCCTCTTCACCCATTTCTATTTCATCTCTAGTGTTGTCAGAGCAGTTTTATTCCAATTACATCAATTCTCACCAGCTAAATTTTCAGCCCTCATACTTCAATGAAAGGACCCCATCCTCGTCTTCCTTCTCAGACAATCCTCCTATTCTTGAAATAGGAGAGGACACTCACACTCTTTATAACTTACTAATTTTACTCCTCTTACTC